ACATCTACCCTCTGACTCTACATCTACCCTCTGACTCTACATTTAGACAGGGTTCTACTGGAGCTTTACGTCATGGTATGTAATGTTCTGTAGCAATGTAGAGCTGTGTTCTGGTCTGTCTCCTGAGGTTGTGATGATTGGACGGAACAGAGATCACAGAATCTTATCAGTGGCTCAGATCAGTTTATCCAGAAGCTGCTTGGTCAACCTAAACTGAACCATCTGTCAGGTGTGAAAGTAAAATTCTCAGAGATTTAATGTCACTGAAGAGTTTTATTCACCTCAAACCAAAGTCAGTTTATTAAAAAAGCTGAACAGAACAAAATGTGGTTTTACTGTGACTGGAGCTCAAAATGTTTCTACAACGAAACTAACACAAAGAAAAGGGACGAGTGTCACGGCGGGCAGGTGTCATGTGCTCCTGTGGCCAGGTGTAGCTGGTAGCTGTGGTCGTGGAACATCAGCAGGGTGTAGAAGTTTTCTCCTCCCCTCAGGACACCATGCTCGCTGTCCCCCCACGATACCGGACTGTCGACAAACCCGTGGACCGTCAGGGACACCCAGGATCCCAACAGAGGCCGCTCCAGGTAATGCCTGCAGGACAGGTGAGGACAGCTGAGTCAGGTACAGTCCCTCTATGACACCTGGGACACCTGAGACATGTCGGGGCCACAGGTGAGAGGTCAGCTGACCTGAGCTCCTGGATGAGGCGGTGGATGTCCGGCGGCAGCAGCAGGCCGCAGACAGACACACGCAGAGCGCTGCTGAGCGTAGTGTTCGGGTCAGGACACACCAGCGAGGACAGGAAGCTGCTGGACGAGTTCTCCCTGGAACCACAGAAGAACAATCAGCAGGAGGACACACGGTTACATGACACATCGATGACATCATCATTGTGGCGTCTCACCGGCTGACATCAGCGTCCACTGTTCCAAGCCACTCCAGGAGGCTGTGAGGGTCACAGGACTGCAGGACGGGGCACGACAGGTTGGTCAGATGGCAGCGACTGACCTCAGGTGTGTGCTCTGACCAATCGTATCGCAACAGGAGGGGCTGCAGACACGCCCTGCCCCCTGTGAAACAGGGGCACCGTGGGTAAAACACAGCAAGGAGCAGACAGCAACACAGGTGAGACGATGCAACTCACCTGGATGATGCGACAGCAGGAAGTCAGTGTGCAGGTGAAGGCGGGACCTCAGACCTGCGAGGAGCCTCAGGTAGCCCCGCCCACCAGGTGCCATGCTGCTGTCAGTCAGGTCGATAGATACGACTGCAAGATTGATCAGACAAATATTGATCCTATAACTGTATTGATTACGTTGCTGATTGATCACAGATAAATGTTTTAACTCCGCCCCCTGAGGCTTAACTCTCAGGTAAAGCTGAGACAACAGTGAGTAAATCACTGTAATATCACCTAAAAATCAAACGATTCTAAATAGTATCCCCTCACAGTAATCAGATTACTTCTAAATGGCCACTTCTACAGTGCTTTTATCCAAAGTGCTTTACGGTGTTTCTCATTCTCCTGTTCACACACCAACGGTGACAGAGCTGCCATCAGGAGCAACTTCAGGTTCAGTGTCTTGCCCAACTTGGACTGTGGAGGGACCGAACCGCCAACCTGGCGATTGGAGGACAACCTGCTGTACCACCTGAACCACAGCCGCCCACTTCTAACAGCAGAGTATTGCCTCTGATATCAGATTTAAAAACTTTTTTAGGCTCCACAGCAGGAACTAAACTAAAGTGAGTCCATCTTTCATTCCTGAGGTTCTTTGGTTCCTTCAGTTCTTCGTGTGTCCACCTTTATTTCTGACTCTGACGACGCATCCACTGTGGTGGTCCTGGTCAGGTTCTCACCAAACATCTGGACTCCATGTGAGCCCAACACATTGATCTCCATCTGACCAGAGGATGTTCTCCAGCATCCATCAGGCTTCTGTTCATGTTCTCTGGTGAACTTTGATGTGGAAGTTTAGCTGTGAGCAGCAGCCAGGTTTAGTTCTGCTCCTCCGTCCATAGAGGCTGATGTTCTGAAGTGTCCTTCACACTGTGTGAGCTTCACACTAACTCTGGTCTCCATTGATCAGCCCTGTGCCAAGTCTGAAGCAGCTGCCTTTGTCTGGTGTCCACAGCTCCATAGTGACAGTAGTTGACTGTCCGTGGAGTCGTTGTAGGAGGACGACCACTGCAGCCCTGATCAGTGCTGCTGTGGCTCCTTCTGGACCTCCTGGTTCCTGCTCACACTGGGCTGCACTGGGTTCTAGCTGCTCACTGATCTTCTGGATCCTTCTCCATCTTTGTCCAGTCTCTCAGTCAGATGTTTCTCCTCCTCTGTTCAGGTCTTCTCCATGTGGAGCCATGATGCAGACATAGATAGACACAGTCCAGAGGTCCAGAACTGAGAAGGTTCTGCTGCTCTGTAGAACCATGTTCATGCAGGTGGACTGATGGAGACCACAACTGGACTCACTTTGGTTCTTTGAGGTTCTACTTTGGGCTGATGTTTAGTATAGACTTTGTAAAGTGTTTCTGATTGTTCACCAGAGGGAATACTCTGCTGTTCTACTTAAAGTAATCAGATTACTAAGTTTCAGATCTTTTGACATTGTGTCTGTGTGTGTGAACATGAAGGAAGTTCATTCAGACCAAATCTGCTTCTGCTTCTGTGGTTGAATCTACACGGTTTTCCTTCGAACCCCAACAACTCAAAGGAGTCCTTATCCAGAGAGAGACACAGGTGACCTGAGGACAGACAGACAGGCAACCTGAGGATAGGCTGACAGACAGACAGGTGAGCTGCTAGAATTAGAAGAAGAAGAAAAGTTTTTACCATTTGGCATCAAAGCAACACAATTATCTTCATCGATTCTGGTTCTGTACGACAGTCCATACACACCACCTGAAACACAGCGACATCCCAGCACAGGTGTGTACAAGTGTAGTGTGTCAGGTGTGTAAAGTTGCGTACAGGTGTAGTGTGTCAGGTGTTACCTGGGTACACGGCCTTCTGCAGGAAGTCTTTGTCCAGTAGTTCATATATGGGCAGGTTCCTGATTAGGTAGAAGCTGCTGAAACTACTCAACAACGAGTCCAGATGGGAGGGGGCGGAGCTACACTCAGGTAGCAAGACAGACACCTGCACAAGTGAGACAGATCAGCTCAGGGAGTCTGTCAGCCGGTTTGGAGGGTTGTGGTTGTGTATATATACACACATATAGTGTATATGTTTTAAAGAGATTCAAGAACAGATGCGAAACAAAGTCATTGACATTTATCAGTGTGGAGGTTCAAAAGCCATCGCTGAGGCTCTGGGCCTCCAGAGAACCACCGTGAGAGACATCATCTACTAATGGAGACATGGGACAGTGGTAGACCTTCCCAGGAGGCAGGGTACCAACATTTCTTCAAGAGAAGGTCGCGTCCACATCTCATCCAGGTCACAAGAGAACCCAGACGAACATCAACAGAACTTCAGGCCTCCCTGGCCTCAGTGAAGGTCAGTGGACATGATTCCACAACAAGGAAGACTCTGGGCAGAAATGGATCCATGAAGAGCTGCAAGGCTCAAACCACTCCTAGGCAAAAAGAACACAAAGACTTGTCTGGCATTTGGAAAAAAATGTCTAGATGAAGCCCAAGACTTCTGGGAAAACCCCCTGAGTACTGATGAGTTGAAGGTGGAGCTTTCTGGAAGACATGGGTCCAGTTAGATCTGGTGTAAAGCTACTACTGCATTCCACAAGAAGGACATGATCCCAGCAGTGAAACGTGGTGGAGGCAGTGGATGGTTGGAGGACCTGGACGACTCGTCATAGCTGATGGAGATATGAATTCTGCTCTCTATCAGAAAGTCCTCCTGGAGTATATCCACCATCAGTTCAGGACCTGAAGCTCTACACAGATGGGTTCTGCAGCAGGACCATGACCCAAAGCACACAAGCAAGTTCACCTCTGAACGGCTCAGAAAGAACTAAAGTAAGGTTCTGGAGCGGCCGAGTCAAAGTCTGGACTACAGTCCAATTAAGATATTGACCTTAAAGGGCAGTTCATGATTTAAAACCATCTAATGTGGACAAATCAAAACTGTTCTGCAGAGAAGAGTGGCCCAACATTCCTCCATAGAGGTGCAGAAGATCACCAGCTGTCACCAACGTTCAGCTGCAGGCGTTGCTGCCGAGGAACCAACCAGGTGTCAGGTTTAGGGGCAGTTATGTAGGTCATATCATACAGGTTTTCAATAAGAATTATTTAAAAACTGCATTCTGTGTTTTGTCAGTTATCTCTGTCTAATAGTAAATAAATATAAATATATCTGATGATCTAGAACATCTAAGTGTGAGAAATAGAAGACATGAGGAAGGAGGCCAAGTCTTTTCCCAGTACCGTATATACAACATGATGACACAAATTCTGGGACAGAAAAATGTGAGTTCCATTCAGAAGAAACCAAAAGTGAACAAAATACAGCAGAAGGAACCTGAAGCGACCTTCATCTGATGACCAGAACCTTCAACTAACCAAACAATAACCTGACTGGTGTCAGTGTGTGATGATTCACTGCTGCTGTCAGGTCCAATACCACTGAGGGGAACAGAGCGAGGAGAACCGATCAGGACCAATCACAGGGTCCAGATGTCTCAGACAACCTACAAAGTGCCACGATAAAGAAAGAAAACGTGTTCAAGCGAAACACTTGAGAGTCACCTGTGAATGAAGCTCTGTTCAGCCTGTCAGACAGACAGAAGCCTCCTGCAGCAGAGCGGACACAAACTGGTCACTGATCAATCCCTGGGATCAATAATCAGCCTGAAACAAACATGCAACTGAGGTTCTCCACGGTGCAGTTCTCCTAGCAACCTGTGGGGGGCAACAACACGCCTCTGCTGCGGCCAGTCTGCCGCTAATCCACCCGAAGAAGAAGAAGAAGAAGAAGAAGAAGAAGAAGAAGAAGAACCAGCAGCCGAAGAAGAAGCAGTTCAGTTTGTCTTGCGGCCAGACTTTTATTTTGAAAGTTTTCGTCCAGCACGTGTCAGCTCGGCGTTTTTCTGTTAGCTGGTAGTTAGCTAGCTAGTTAGTGAATTAGTAACTGGTCCTCACTAAGCTGCTGGTTAACTGGTCAGTCCGCAGTGCGCAGCTGTGGACCTGCAGACAGACTCACCACATGCGGCTAAGCTAACAGCTATACGGGGCTCGCAGCTAACGTGCTAACATGCTAAACAGTACCTTGTAGCTGAAATGCAGCTGCTGCACCTGCGCACTGAGCCGGTTCTTCTCGTCCAGCAGACTGGACTGCTCACACAGCAGCAGGTTCCGGGGAGTCCGATCCAGCTCCGCCGACATTCTACCCGAACTTCACCGAACAACTTTCACCAGACTGTAAGAATCACGGAGCCGCTAACCGTGACCGGGTTTCAGAATAAAAGCGACTGACTGGATTAAACGCCTGCACCTGCGCATGTCCGTCTCGGGGGGGCAGCACCGAACCGCTCCGCTCTCTGACCTTCCGCCGCCACCGTAGTCACGTGCCAAGAGCCGGAAGTGAGGCGGACACGCTGCGGCTGGGTTCTGATCAGCTCCAAGTTCTGTTCTTTGTGTTTCTGAGGGTCACCTGTGTCCGTGGACTGTGACGTCATGTCTGCGTGTGTACCTGGACAGTTTGATGACGCAGAGGAGGACAGGTGAGTCTGAAACGGAACATCCAGTTTCTTCTGTGACTGCAGAGTGGATCAGAATCGGCAGGATTCAGAACCTCTGTTTCATTCTGCTGTAAACCTTGTAAAGTGAAAATGACGCCGTGTCCGCTTTAAGCCTCCACTGTTCTGTCAGGTGTACACTGGTTCTACCGTCTGGGAGCAGCACCAAGCTGGACCGCATGGACACCATCAGTCAGTTCAGTTTGACTTGAGTAGCGCCGTTTACAGCACACGTTCTGACACGGCGCCACAGCCTGGATACGAACACACTGAACAGCTGTTGATGCTTCACGGTGTCGTTCACCTGCACATGAACGCAAGAACAAAGACCTCAGCGTTCACGGGCTGAAGCATCAGAGGCCTGATATGACCGTTAAGAAGTATTAACGACCTGGATTGAAATGCAGTCAGTCTTCTAGATAACAAATCACTGCATAGCCTGACCGTGTGGACGACGGCCGGTGCCTTGGGACGGGCCGGGCCTCGGGCCGGGCCGGGATGGAGCCGAAAGCTGCTTCATTCTGGAGGTTTTCATCTGTTCCTGGGTTGTTGCAAACAAACGTACAGAGGCTGAAGTTTCAGAACCTCAGAACAGTTTTATGAAACTTGACTCTTGTGTTAAAGTGACTGATCGGATCCAACGGTTCTGATGGTTGGAGGTTCTTCATCTTTTGGCTCTGAGCTGAAACTGCCTGAGTTCACAGTAAACATTCATTTGAGACTAGACGTAAAACTGTAGTCGAGTAGAAGTACCGTTTCTGTGGAGGGGTGCGCCCTTTTCCATCTGATATTGATTATTGGTGATCAACAAAGAACTGTTGCTGATGTTTGGAACAGATGAATGTGATGTTTTAACAGCAGGAACCCGTCATTCACAACGAGCTTAACTGAATAGGGACCACAGCAGTGATGACATCAGAGCACCATGTGAATTTGAGACGTTCTCTGTTCACTGATTGGTCGATTGATTGATTGAGATCAATAAGTTTGTCTCCTGCAGTTCTGTCTGCAGTTGTTCTGCGTCTTTCTCTGTTCTGTCTCTTTTATTTCCCACTAAGATCTGTGGGTACCTGCCAGCTTAACTGTTAGCGTAGCATTTGTCTCTGTGAAAGCAGCTAGCGCCCTGATTGGTGGAGATGTTTGAGCGTTAGCAGCAAGCTAAGCGGCACAGCTAGCCTCTCAGTGTTAGCATTAGCCTAGCACCGTCAGTAGAATCAGCTCCAGCTGCACTGACACCAACAGGTGAATCATTCAGGTGTTTTCAGGTGAAGCTGAGGATTGTGGTGTTTATTAAAGTCCAGTAACTTCTGCTGGTTAAAGCAGGAACACATCGATAGAAAGACAAACACACTCCGCTGGTGTCATTGATGAGTCGGTTATTGATCTACAGCGCTGATGACTATTGTTTAAGAACTTTTTTCAGAACTTATTGGTTGACTTATTGTCAACTCTTAACTAATTAGATATTTTAATTGGTTTCAGTAAAATCCAATTTAAAAACTGCTTAAATTGTGTAATTGCAGAAACTAATGTTGCGTTTCAGCGTCTGTCAGAATCACTGGCCTCTGCTGGCAGCATCCTCTTTATTTTACTAAAGTAATGGACTTCATGTGTGCTGGTGTTCTAAAGGATGCTGCGTTTGCTTTCATGTCACTGTGGTTAGTGTTTAAAGTTTCTCTGGTCTCATCAGGTGTTGAGAAACAAAAACAGTTCTGATCCAGAAAAGTCAGATTGAGACTCAAACTACAGCCGCCATGTTGACTCTGACTTTGTTCTGCAGCAGCCAATCAGAGGCGCTGGTTGTGCAAACTCACAGCAGTGATGTCACGCTGCAGCAGGACAATGAAGACGAGGAAGACGAGGAAGACGAGGAGGACGAGGAGGACGAGTGGACGTGGAGTTCGACAGGAGATCTGACTAAAAGATACAACCGAAGCTGTCAGGTCCGACTGATCAATAGATCTGATTGATGATCACTGATTATTGATGAACCTGTCTACTGCATTCTTCACCTGATAACTTTGAAGTTCCAGCTGACACCACGTTACCGTGGTGACTGTTATAATGAACACTCACACTAATCTGATCAGTTATTGACGAGTTCGTTGTGGGTTTCTGTTCAGTCCAACAGACAGAATCCTTCCAATAAGATGCTGCCGTCATCGACTCCATCTGACAAAGCTCTGAGGAAATACGAACACAAGATCAACCTGGGTGACAGCACACACACACCGTAACACACACACACCGTAACACACACACACTGTAGTACACACACACACACTGTAACACACTAACACTAACACACACACACACACGCTGTAACAGAACTGAAGCTGAATTGTTTGTACTAATGATCAGTAATCATACAGAGTGATTGATGATCATAGTGATTGATTGCCTTATCGGCTTCTGTTTTACAGATAAACTGAACTTTGCAGACTCGGTGATCAACAAAGTGACGACGAAGCAGAAACAGAAAGACGCCGACACGTACGTCTGAACCCACCTGAAGCTTTGACAACAGTCATGTGACATTTTACTGACGCTCTGATTGGCTGCTCTTCACAGGTACAGAGTGAAGGACAAATCAGATCGAGCCACAGTTGAACAGGTGAGGTCTGTGTAAAGAATACAGTGCAGATTGAACTGATCAATAAAATGAATCGGGACCAATAATGAGCTGATTGTCACCGGCAGGTGTTGGATCCTCGAACTCGAATGATTCTCTTCAAGATGTTGAGTCGAGGCATCATCTGTGAGATCAACGGCTGCATCAGCACGGGGAAGGAGGTCAGACGATCGACGTATTGACCTTTATCTGTACTGTGCTCTGATTGGACCATGACATTTGTGTCAGCAGTGACATCACTGCAGCCCGAATAACAGCGTTCAGACGGATTTACGTGCCAACGCAGAACTACATGAAAGTCACGCACAAAACAAAACTACAGTCACATACATAAGGAATGTGCAAAACCACAAACACAGGAAATAAATGACCTACAAAGGGTTAACCCGAACCCAACGCATGCTCAACCGATTACTCAGTGATCGTCACAAACAACCCGATATACGAACGCTCTGATCGAAGTTCATAACAGGGAACAAAAAATATTCAAATATGAAGTTTTACGTGAAATAACATGCAGAGTGGAGGTCTGTGCCGCTGACCGCAGCAGATCAACCACGTTCTCCAGGTGAACGTTCTGCAACATGTTTTTCAGGCTAACGTTTATCACGCTAGCACGGCGGCGGGAGATAGCAGAGCCATCAAGATCTACAAGACGTCCATCCTGCTGTTCAAAGACCGAGACAAATATGTCAGCGGAGAGTTCAGGTAGGTCTGACACCACAGAAGAAGAGCTCAGACAGGTCTGACACCACAGAAGAAGAGCTCAGACAGGTCTGACACCAC